ATGAATCACTCTACAATTTTCTCTGTGCTCCAACGTGGGACTTGAGGTGTTATAGGATTTCTAGTTTAAAGTAATTATGACGTGTTCGATACGAAAGATAGATCCCTTACTTAGAGCGGTTATGGCATGTTTGGAACGAAAAAATCAGTCCATTATTCTTTTGTCTTGTCACTTGCATCATCATCGCCTTCCCGCAGAGCAAGGCAGATATGGAGGGAATGTAAAAGAGACAGAGAGGGTGGGAGGATGAGCAAAAAGCAGATGGGTCAGTCCTCGTCAAACCACAATGGCAGCTTTAGTTCAATAGTTAATGTCTCGTAAAGAACTTACGTTGAATGAAAGCTATCATAAGCAAAGCCCAAGGCAGGTCCTTCCTTGCTTTCGCTTTGCAACATTTTCCGAAAGCCATTTTCAAGGATTAATGAATTTTTTCAGTTGCTTTTCTTGCCCTCAGAACTTACCCTCAAATGCCTCCGGAGTACTGCAAACTCAAATAGTCGCACGCGACCTCCGACCAATGGCCTCAGGTCTGGTCGGTGACGTCGCTGTGAACACCCAAGTGGCCATTGACTTAGCTGCCGAAGTTGCCGAGGGTCGCGCAAGATCTGGCTGCCGAGGGTCGACCGGCAGAGAGAGAGAGAGAGAGAGTATGAGGCTCTCTCAATCTCCTCATCGGCAACGTGGTCGCGCCAGGAGGCCCCTACGAATACACTGGAGAAGGTTACTTTGTGTAGCTACTGTTGTGGTGCGAGAGTGACCGATTATTTTGAGCTGCTCGTGGGTCTTTGTAAATACAGCTTCCTTTTCAAATTATCCAACCTCTTTTTGCATATACACGTACCATATTCACGGATTATAGTTTCATGTTGGACACAATATAGCAATTATAATGTTCAACTTACACGTTTATTCATTAGTTGAATGATATTATGTTCGGTATTAATTTTGTAACTGAATTTTTCACATGTCAATAATCCAACGACAAGTCAGCGGTGAAACTAATAATATTTTGGGCCGTTTGTTTGAAGGAAAACTGTATCCGGGAATTTGTTTTCCGACTTTCCGGTATTTGGATGACGAAAACTAATTGATCTACTGAAAGCGTTTTCCATGAGCTAGAAACAACGAACTTATCGGAAAAAACAATTTCCCCTTATAACAAGAAGGAAATCATTTTTCATAAACCATCAAACAAATGAAAACTCACGATTTTTTTATGATAAAATTTTCGGTAAAAAAAACGCACCCTTTATTAATAATTATTTACCAAGATATGGGTTCATGGTCTTTGACTTTAACATGGTGCGTCATGCATCATGTGAGTTTAGGTGCGTTTGGTTTAGTATTTTGAAAGCCCCTTAAAGAAAATTTGGGGTGTTTGGCAACAATTCACAAGGTGTTTTGCGGTGAAACTTAGCCTTGGGCTTTCTGCATTTTCGAAATTCTATCTCAAGAGATTTGAATGACTTTTTTTCTTCCCATCTTGCCCTCACTAGATTTCTCATATTCCCCTTTTACCGTCATTAAGGACAGATTGTGGCTAGTTGCTGGCAAGCCCAGGCATTGCATGGGGTCGCATGTCAACAACGGTGGCTGGGGTTCGTGCGACACTGTGGCAGCACCTGGGCTTGCCGGGAACCCCAGCAGCCCTCACCTCGGTTGCGCAACCCACGTCGAGGTCACCTTAGGTCGTGCAACCTCAGCCGACGGCCGTCAGTGCCAGATCTAACTTGTCGACAGCCTGAGCCGTTCGCCAGATCGGAGAAGGGTTTGATTTTTATTAAAAAAATAGAAACATTGCAACCAAAGCCCTTTGCAAAAAGAATCCCGCCAAACACTACTTGACTCAAAGTTGCTTTGTAAAAAAGTTTTTACCGAACATAATTTGCATTTCCCCAAAGGGCTTTAGACTTTCAGCATTTGCATTTTCCCAAAAGCCCATTTCCAATGTCAAACCAAATGCAGCCTCTATCCAATTTGGCCACGCCCGAAAGAAGGGAGTCGAATTCAGCAAGTTCTATTTCAAGTATTAAATTTTTATAACACCACTGCTGTTGTGTTATAATTATCGTCAAAAGTCATGGCACCCGATTAAGATACTACTTATTAAGGAAGGCTACTAAGGTGTCATTCATCTTTGTCGTCCTCATACATCAAGTCATTGGCATAATTGTTTAAAAAATCTTAAAATTATGATACAACGGTTCGTTCAATCCTAAATTTTTTCATTTGGCCAATTTAGTCCAAAATATTTTGACGATGAGGGAGCTGCTGAATGAGCCGGCCTCTTCAAGCACGAGCTTGCACTGGTCTCCTTCCTTTATCTTGATGGGCCGAGGAATTAGATTTAACAGGCTCGAATTGGGCCAAAAGGTCCAATTGGGTTTTACCGTTAAAAGCCAATTGGGCCGTTGGCATCAATTGGCCCCTCAAGTCTCCGTCATTCGAAATTTTGGTCGTCGGGCCAAGATCTTGAAACTACAATGTTCCTAATCTAAATATGCATAAGAAACTTGGTGAAAAAAAAATGAATGTACGATGATGAAATGACGACGCCTTCGATTAGGGTCAAGATCCAACGTGGTTGGCGAATTCCATCCCCAAGATAGTTGACGGACTCGAAAGCCAACTCCGGTGTCAACAAAAAGAAATACAAAGGTGGCTGATTTTTTGCTAATGCCATTCTATGGGAAAATTATCAAAAAAGTTTTGAAATTATTGTGTAGATGTCAATTCAATCCTAAATTTTCTGAAAATTTGTCAATTTAGTCATTCCAGCCAAATTTGATCAGAAATCGATGACATGGACGCTAGCCGTCTTACGTAGCACTATCGACACTGACGTGGATAATCTTTGCAATCTTTTAGAAAAATTTCTGAATTAAAATTTTTTCTAATGCAATAGGAATTAAAAAAGCAGCTTATTTCATGCTAATACCATTCTTAGTATGTCCGACTATCGAGTCGCGTATGCTCTCCTCACCGGTGCCTTCTATAGTGGACCAGCACATGCCAAAAGCCTGTACCTTGCTGCTCTCAAAGTCTCACAAAATAATCTCACACTAACTATATTAATCCGAAAATAACTTCAGCCCAAATAAAATTTGTGAAAGCTCGTGTATTTTATTCAGATGAATCACAACCGTACAAGATAAAGTAAAGACAAGTTGATAATGCAAAAGTGATTGAGATGATAACAATGCGATTTCTTTAATCTCCGTCTTATAATTTCTAATTAGATTAATAAATACTCAAATATTGAGGTGCCATTTGGTTACATTTATAAACACTACAGCCTCAAGAGAAGCAATCTCAATTCAACATAGTTCCACCATCGTTTTAATAGCCTCAAAAACGAACAAAAATTTCGAAAACACTAAAAGCCCTTATGACATCATATGATAGGTGATCACTGTTAGAATATTTAAATAATAAATCACGCCTTAATCTAACAGTTCAAGATTTTAGAACAGTTGATTGTGATTCCACCAAATCTCACATGATATCAGAGCACAAATAAATATGTCCAAGCTTAGTATCAAGCAAAAAGACTAGACTAAGCATAAAGGGGAGTATTAGAATATTTAAATAATAAATCGTACCTTCATATAATAGTTTAAGTTTTTAAAACAGCTGATTGTGGTCCTACCAAATCTCACCATCACTACGAGTAGTAATGATGACCTACACAGCTGCTATTGAATGCCGAATTTCGTCCCTCGCGCCGAAAGCTCTCGTTAATTTTTGGGGTGAAGAGGAGGAGGATGAACGGCATTCAGACGTGACTGACTATTAAGGAAAGACGCATGATCCCATGGTTGGTTCCTACTGTACAAAAGAAAGAAAGGAACCCTTGAATAACGTGAGCGACTTTGTTAATTATGTTAGAGATGTAATATGTCCCAGACAAAAAACATGAGTTTGAAAAGGTGCGTCTCCCACTAGTCCGATCCGCGCAAGCAAAGCCAATTCAATTCACTCCTCTCGTCGCCTCGGCAAAAAGTGCATGTTCACAAGTTTGTTATAAGGATCCCTTGTTTTTCTCTCCTTTGCCGATCTACTGAGACCGCAAAGACCCTCTTCTTCTTCATCTCCATTTGATCTTCTCTTCTTTCTCGCTTGTACAACTATCTGTTCCTTATAGGTTATTATGGACAAGAAGGTTCTTGATTACACGTTGGTCCCCTTGGGCTTGTTCATAATGATGGCCTACCATGCATGGCTCCTCCATCGGATCGTGAAGCACCCCACCAAGACCGTCGTCAGCGTGACCGCCATTAATCGGCGATTCTGGGTTCAAGCTATGATGGAGGTAATGTGGTTTGTCTCCCTCCTCTCTTTTGTCTCCCCCGGAAATGCTTCTTGACCTTTCTTCTTTTTCGTGGCGTCCGACTTGTGTTGCAGGATGTCTCCAAGACCGGCGTTCTCGTGGTCCAAACGCTGAGGAACAACATAATGGCGTCGACTCTGCTGCCCTCGACTGCGATCACCCTCAGCTCCCTCATTGCCATCCTCATGACCAGCGGGAACGGCAACCAATCCTCGCTCTTCATCTTCGGAGACCGGAGCAAGTTCGGTTTCTCTGTGAAGTTCTTTGCCATCCTCGTGTGCTTCTTGGTGGCTTTCCTTCTGAACGTTCAGTCCGTAAGGTACTACAGCCACGCGAGCATCCTAATCAATGTGCCGTACAGGAAGATATCGCAGCACCAGCACCACCACCACCACCGGGCAATGGCGGAGTATGTGGCCACAACGGTGAACCGGGGGAGCTATTTCTGGTCGCTGGGGTTGCGGGCATTCTACTTCTCTTTCCCTCTTTTTCTGTGGATTTTTGGTCCGATCCCCATGTTTTTGAGCTGTTTCGTGCTGGTTTGCATGCTGTATTTCTTGGATGTCACGTTTGAGTTTGGGTGGGCCGTGGGGGCTTCTGATGATGATGAGAGGAAAGATGAGGAACTGGGAAGTGCAATGATGATGAGTATCGGTGGATTAAACAGCTGATCTCCAACTTTACCAGAGCTTCACAATATAGTTTCTTTCATAAGTTTTGCAATCTACTAAGATATTGAAATACTAAGTCTTGGTGGGGTGCTTCACGATCCGATGGAGGAGCCATGCATGGTAGGCCATCATTATGAACAAGCCCGAGGGGACCAACGTGTAATCAAGAACCTTCTTGTCCATAATAACCTATAAGGAGCAGATAGTTGTACAAGCAAGAAAGAAGAGAAGATCAAACGGAGATGAAGAAGAAGAGGGTCTTTGCGGACTCAGTAAATCGGCAAAGGAGAGAAAAACAAGGGATCCTTATAACAAACCTGTGAACATGCACTTTTTGCTGAGGCGACGAGAGGAGTGAATTGAATTGGCTTTTGCTTGCGTGGATCGGACTAGTGGGAGACGCACCTTTTCAAACTCATGTTTTTTGTCCGGGACATATTAAATCGCTAACATAATAAACAAGGTCGCTCACGTTATTCGAAGGGTTCCTTTCTCTGTTTTTGTACAATAGGAACCAACCATGGGATCATGTCTTTTCTTAATAGTCAGTCACGTCTGAACGCCGTTCATCCTCCTCTCCTTCGCCACAAAAATTAATGAGAGCTTTTGGCACGAGGGATGAAATTACACTTTTAATAGCAGCTGTGTACGTCATCATTACTCTTCATAGTGATTGTGAGATTTGGTAGGATCACAACCAACTATTTTAAAAGTTTAAGCTGTTAGACGAAGACGTGATTTATTATTTTAACATTCTAATACTCTCTCTTATACTTAATCTGGTCAGTTTACCTGATACTAAACTTGAACATATTTAATTGTGCTCTAATACCATGTGAGATTTGGTGGGACCACAACCAACTATTTTAAAAGCTTAAATTGTAAGATGAATGCGTGATTTATTATTTAAATATTCTAATAGTGATCACCTCTCATATGATGTCATAATGGCTTTTAGCGTTTTTGAATTTTTCGTTCGTTTTTGAAGTTATTAAAACGATGGTGGAATTACCCACCCATGGGTAGCTCAGTTGGTTATGGCGTATTTGGGATTGTGTGGTTAGGCGCACTGATCCCAGGGTTCGATTCCAGTGAGCACTTGTGATTTAAGTGGGGGGCGTGGCGGTGGGTTCTTTATGCTAGTCTCCCCAAGGAATAGTCGAGGTGCGCGCTTAAGCTGGCCCGGACACCTCGGTTACCAAAAAAAAAAAAAAGCGATGGTGGAACTATGTTGAATCGAGAGTGCTCCTTTCGATGTTATAGAGGAACAGACATGCTACTTTTATTAGTTCTAACTAATCGATATGTTTTTTGACTATGGGTAATAAAATTAAAAAAAAACATAATTGACATTTAGACATGACAAACATTGTCTATATAAATGATAATAATTAAAACTTTTAGTGTTGATGTAACCAAACGTTATTTTGGGTGCGTTTGGTAATCATTCTGTTCTCGAAAATAGTTTCTGCTCAGAAATAATTTTTTTTTTATTCCATTTTCAGAAATAATTTCTAAGCATTTAAAGACGTTTGGTAACTACCCAAAATTTATATTCCTAGAATAGAAAAAAGAACAAAAATGCATTTGGTAACCACACAAAATTTCTTTTTATAAATAATATTTTGAATTTTTAATATTTCTTTCTCTTTTTTTATTCTTCCCCTTCCTTGGCCCATGTTCAGGTTGCCGGTGCCGGCGATTGGCCACAGGCCAGGGCCAGTGAGGGCATCGAGGCCCTCGTCGCCTGGGTGAGGGCTGCCCTTGCCAGATCCGGCGAGGGCCGCGCCACCGGGCGACTGGCCACAGGCCAAGAAAAATGAAGAAGACCAACCAAGAAGAAGAATAAGAAAAAAAAAATTTCTTTTCCACTTTTAATTCTTGTTCCCAGAATCAAGAATCAACTTTTTTTTTATTTTTGATTTTGTTCCAAAACTAATTCTGGAAACAAATTTATGCCTGAGAACAAAAAATTTACCAAACGAATTTCTGTTATTCTTTTGTTCCGGAGAACAAAAGAATAGAATCGGGTACTATTTAGCCGGTTACCAAACAACCCCTTTGTATATAGAAACATTTAAATAAATGAAATATAGATAATTATCCAAAAATTTCTAAACTTATTATATGACGGCTAATTCAATTCTAAATTTTTTAATCCAGCTAATTTTTTGTGGTTGAAATTTGACCATTTTAATCATAAAGCTGGACAATTTGCCAATGTAGTCATTCCGATTAATTTTGCTCGAAAATCACTGACATAGATGTCAGCCGTCTTACGTGGCGCAACCGGCGTTGACGTGAATGATTTTTTTTTTAAAAATTTATGATTTATTTTTGCCTTTTCTTTACTTTCCGTTCTCTTTTTTTTTTTTTCCTTCACCAATTGTCAGGGCCTTGACGATAGCTAGCAAGGGTTGCTGGCCACAGGGAGAGCGTCACGGCGCTTGTCCATCACGATAAGGGCTTGTAGGCCCTTGCCTAGATTTGGTGAGGGTGCTCCTTAGCCGTTGCTGAGGCCCTAGTGATCAACAAAAGGAAATAAGAAAAAAAGAAAAAAGAAAATAAAAGAAAAGGAAGAAAAAGGAAAATTCCCAAATCGTCCACATTAGCGTCAACCAAGTTATGTAAAACGACTAATGATAATTGGACTATCACGCCAGTGATTTCCGACCAAAATTGGTCGAAATGACTAATTGGAAATCGTCCAAAAGTTTAGGACTAAATTAGTCAAATTAAAATATTTAGGACCGATTTGATTGCTGCACAATATGTTTAGAGCTTTTTGGACAATTTTATCAACTAAAACAAGTTAAATGAATTTAGTGTTTATAAATGTAACCAAATGGCACCTAATTATTAAACTAATTAGAAATTATAAGATGGAGATTAAAGAAATCGCATTGTTATCATCTCAGTCACTTTTTGCAATATCAATCTGTCTTTAGTCTATCTTGTACGATTGTGATTAATCTGAATAAAATACACGAGCTTTCACAATATTTATTAGTCAAGAGTTGAGTTGAAGTTACTTTTGGATTATTATAGTTAGTGTGAGATTAATTAGTGAGAATTTGAGAGCAGCAAGGTACCTGCTTTTGGCATGTGCAAGTCCACTAATGGAAGGCTCCAGTAAGGAGAGCGTATATGACTCGATATTCGGACACACTATAGAATGCCATTACCATAAAATCAGCTACCTTTACTAATTCCTATTTGTTGACACCCGAGTTTGCTTGCGAGTCTTACCTTTACTAATTCCTATTTGTTGACACCCGGGGAACATGTTCATCATTTTTTGGAATGTGGAATTTACTCTACATACCTTGGAACTTGAAACCTATCCCGTCAAAGGTTCCGGGGTCTACTCAGGTTCCACCCGTATTATTAATTGAATAATTACAGTGAATCATTGTCTTGAACGACCACCACTTGCAGCTATGATTCTCTAACAACAACTTATATTTAGAGACAAAAAATATGAAACATTAACAAGTTATAAAATGAAAACTCATACTAGTGGTTTCAGATTATACACTCATCATCTAACGCCATGGAACACCACAGGATCACGTGAAGACGTAGATCAAGAAAAAACACAAAAAACTTATTTAAGGTTCTAGATTCCAGGTTCAATGTTTCACCTACTTAGAACCTGGAACCTACCCATCAAAACAGGTTCATCAATTTTTGAAACCTGAAACATACCTTGCATATCTTGTAACTTGGAACTTAGAGGTTCCCATCGATCAGGTTCTCAAGTTTCAGGTTTTACCTTGGAACCATGCTCACCCCTAGTCTCAGCTCAGGGTTGGAATTCGCGAATGGCGTTGGAATTCAACCATAAACCGAAGAAGTCGTCATTTCACCATCGTGCACTCATTTTTTTCCACCGAGTTTCTTCTCCATATTTAGACTAACGAACATTGTAGTTTCAGGACCTCGAGGACTCTATTCGACCATGCGGCGAAATCTATTTGCGGCGGACCGAACTCAAATCAAAACATGTTTTCCGATACAAGAGATGGGCGCCGAAGCAAGGCACGGCCTGTCCTATACGATAGCTGCGAGCTTTCCTCTCTCTCCTGATAGTCGCTCTTCTCTTAGGTTTTTCTATAGGCTCGACCAAAATTTTGACTGACGGAGATTTGGGGGCCAATTGATGCCAACGGTCCGATTGGCTTTTCACGGTAAAACCCAATTGGACCTTTTGGGCCCAATTCGAGGCCGTTAAAACTAATTTCTCGGCCCATCAAGATAAAAGAAGAAGACCAATGCAAGCTCGGGCTCGAAGAAGCCGGCTCGGCCTGCAAGCCCAGCCTCACTCGCAAGAACCGGCACCCTCTCCACATGGGCACCTTCTGGAACTTTCTATTTTGTCTCTTCCCCAACTAATTTTGTCACTTTCTTATTTTGTTTTCTTTCATTTATATCTTTCCCTCCAGCAACCTTCGCCTTTTCCTCCTCTCCTCTCGCTCCTTTGCATCAGCTGCCACTCTCGCCACCACCCTTCTCCTTTTTCTGCCCTAATCGTGTTCTAATTTCATCGCCGGCGCCTCCTCAATCCCTTCCAGCCGTTGCTTCCGTCCTCTCGGCTGCTGCCGAGCTTCACCACCTCGCCTCCCTGCTCACTCTTGTCGCTCATTCACCTCTGACTAGGGGTGTCAGAACCGAACCGAAAAATCGAACCGAGATACAAACTGAACCGAACCGAACCGAAAATTTTGTACATTTCGGTTCGGTTCGGTTTTCGGTTCAGATTATCTAAATTAACCGAATTTTTATTTTCAGTTCGGTTCGGATCGAACCGAAATGAAAATAAACCCTTCATTCAGTTCGTTGCCTTATGCTTTTACCCTTAGTAAAACTGAAAAGGGTTTTAGGGCTCCTGCGTCTGCTCCGTCTCCTCCGATCTGAAGGCCGCAATGACGACGACGACGACGGAACTGAAGGCCGTCGCTCCAAGAACTGAAGGCGAACCGAACCGAACCGAACTGAAATAAACCGAACTGAAAATAAAAATTCGGTTAATTTAGATAATTTGAACCGAAAACTG